GAAATTGCCTGAAATGCACTTTCCGGACTTGTAATTTTCTAGGAGAGCATGGCCTGGTCCGCTTTAGGGAAGGATACTTCATTTCAACACCAGCCGCCCCGCTCGCCCCTCCGGCGCTCCCCCTCCAATCCTCCCCCTCCAATCGATCCTTGTGGAGAGCAATTTAAATAGAGCTACTAGAGTTACTAGATAAAGGCTAGTTTCCACTCAGGAAAATTATCCGTGGATTGGAACGGACAAGAAACCTTTTCTTTGTGTTAAAGTCATCAAGTTCCAACCCAGAGCTCACAAGACAAAGAAAAACTTTCTTGTCGGTTCCAATACACGGATAATTTTCCTGAGTGAAAACCGGTCCAGCCTTAAAGCTGTATGGAGAAGAGTTCAGGACTGATATTGTTAATCCCTTTCCTTTTTAGCCGGTGACCATCACAAATTGAAGACTGACTAAAGCAATCGGGTATGAAGTATTGCCAAATATAGCTAAATATCCCTGCTGACCTTTCATACTTCTTAACTGCATGTCCTTGATTATAACCATACCCAAATAATCTATTTATATTCTTAGCGAACTGTATAATTTATTATGTGCTGTTGTTGTGAATATAGCGACAACAATAAGGGGATGGTTGATTTATGCTAAAGATGGATGACCCGTCTGACGAACTTGGGCAAAGAAAAGATAGTTCGTCTAATAATGTACCAGTGAGCTCCATATATATTTCTAGTGAGAACTCGAGTCAAGTAGTAATTCATTATTTTAATGCAATACCTTATCATAGAACAATAGATGTCTGTTCCAAAACAATATTAAAGGCCCATTTCCACTCGAGAAAAAAGAAAGTTTACCACGAACAGAAAATGTTAAAAGTTGAAAATTTTCAACTTCAAAATTTTTTTCCGGCGGAAACTTTGTGTTGGCCAATCACATTTTACGAATTTTTCTTTCCGCGGAAAATTTTCTTGAGTTGAAATGGCCTTAAAACATTGTCTTTGAACGATAACTATTGTTCCAAAACAATAGTACGTCATTGGTTTAGAACAATAGCTATTGTTCCAGAACAATAGTTGAAAATTATCTCTATTTTACGACTATGAAGTCAAGATGGAGTTGTTGGACGTCATTTCCAGTCTCCTTCTCTTGCTTTTGTCTGCACGGTTAAACACGAAGCTGCCAGGAGTGTGCTGAAATTTCGTATTTTGACCTCGATTTAAAATTTGTTCACGACCTTCATAGATATTGGACATCAATGGACCTATTCCCTAATGAACAAAATTTTGATCTAGACAACAAAAATTTCACCACAGCTTGAAAGAGCATCACAAAATTAGTAATATTCCGAAGTTTCGTTGCGAAATGTTGTAAAATGCGGATAATATAGCACTGCGAAGTTTGCCGTTTTTCAGTCATTTTGTATTACGCACGGAAAATTGATACGGCTTTCTTGAAAAAAGGTATCAATTTCCCATGCGTAATACAAAATGAGTGAAAAACGGCAAACTTCGCAGTGCTGTATTATCCACATTTTACAACATTTCGCAACGAAACTTCGGAATATTACTAATTTTGTGATGCTTTTTCAAGCTGTGGTGAAATAAATTTTTGTCTAGATCAAAATTTTGTTCATTAGGCCGGGAATAGGTCCCTTTGCGCCATCTTGAATGGCTTCACTTTTCCCATAGGCCGAATGTTCTCACTCCAGACATACATAGAGCTCACTGGCATAAACACGGCAAACAGACGGGTCTATCTTGATCGTTCGTCTTACAGTCGTGCCAATAGAAGCGTTCCGAAAAATGTTGACCAGTTCATTTCCTAACTTCGAGGAGTTCCTCTGAACAATTCCTCAATAATTTGATAAGTTCCTTAAAAAGTTCCTAACTTCCTGTTTCATTGACCAATCAGATTGCTCAAAAATAAAATATAACATTTGAAGTTAGGAACTTTTTAAGGAACTTATCAAATTGTTGAGGAATTGTTCAGAGGTGTTCCTTCAAGTTAGGAAATGAACTGGTCAACATTTTTCGGAACGCTTCTATAGGCAAGACTGTAAATGTAATCGCCAATTTCTTTGCCACTAACACAGAAATAATTTTAACCATATTTTAACGAATATAAGACAAAACATTCTCTACGTAAATTGGCGGTTATTTTTGGAATGAGGTACTCGAAATTGGGATGCCATTTTATCAGAATTTATAAAAGTTTGTAGCATTTGTATCCCAGTTTGGTCTTACTAATACTATATTATTTGTTCTAAAGTAATTGCTTGAGAATGTAAAATTTTCGCTCTTCTGTAATGAAGTGTCGTGTTTTCTGTACTTTGATTCCTACTTGCCCATCATCAACTAGTGGACACTGAATTGAATTTTCATGATTTAGGGGCGAACCATTAGAAACGTGATGGGGGGGGGGGGGGGAAAAA